TTCTCAAACCACCATAGAGGTACTCTGTTATCAAAAAACAGACAAGGACCAGGTGTTTACCCATGATATCATGGAGAAAGGCATTGGGCTCCATTGCCAAAAAAAACGGACAGGAGGGCCCAATGCTCCGGGGCCCACAACCACAAATATACGGAGCACTGGAGGAACCCAGCAACACCATCAGGGTAGTGCCTAGGACACATTATCCATCAGATCTCTCAACAGAAAAACCAGAGGGAGCGTAGGGTTAGACATCTGCACCTCCACCAGGGCAGTACTAACTCTAGAGATGGGAGTTCAAATCATTCCCAAAGGGGTAAAAGGACCTCTTCCCCAAGGAACAATAGGCCTATTATTGGGATGCAGTTCTTCTACTCTAAAAGGACTTATGATAAGTCCTGGGGTAATTGATCCTGATTATAAAGGTGAAATAAAAATTATAGCCAGTTCTCTAAAATGTATATCATTAATTTCACCAGGAGATAGAATAGCATAGTTATTAATAATACCCAGCCTACATGATAAATTTTCCAGTTGTACTGTAGAAAGAGGTTCCAGGGGATTAGACTCCACAGGTGTAGATTTGGCTATGCTTTCTTTAAATTTAGATTCTCGCCTGATGCTAAAACTAAATATTCAAGGACATGAATTTAATGGGCTACTGGATACAAGTGCAGACCTTAGCATCATCTCTCATCAAGAATGGCCAAAACCATTGGCCATTACAGCAAGCCACTCAAACTCTTCAAGGCCTAGGAGTGGCGACTAATCCCCATAGAAGTGCAATGGTATTAGATTGGAAGAATTCTGAAGGATGTGAAGGAATTATACAGCCATATGTATTGGATCATCTTCCTATAAATTTATGGGGACAAGATGTCCTAGATCAATTAGATTTGACATTAACAAATAACATCAATCCAAATGCGCCCACTATTATGGCTAGACAAGATTTTAGGAAAGAAAAAAAGATTAGGAGAAAAAGGACAAAGTATAGTGGTGCCAATACAAGAAGATCAAAAAATAGATAGACATGGATTGTGTTTTCAGGAGGGGTCACTGAGACAATAAAAATTACTTGGAAATCAGAAAGACCAGT